TTAATTTTTTAAGTTCTTAAATTGACAGTCATTAGAAAGTTTGATATTTTATCTACATAGATCATTACTCTGTTGACCTTCGGTTTCATGAAACATGCATAGTAGTCGGATAAAACATAATGTTTATATGAAAATCGTTCAGCTTGGCATTATAAATGTGTTTGTGTTATTTAAAAATTCCTTCTATTTGACCTTTTTAGATTTGCGTGGTTCTAGTATTTCTTTTTAAATAGTGTATAATAACCCTTTGGACAAATAGTGTATAATTACCCTTTGGATATGTTACCTGCTTTTAAAGATTATATTTTGACCTTTGATCCCGTTTTATGAATCCATTTTATTTAGTTTCCCCCATTGTTCTCTATTTCTTGTGGACAATATGTTGTATGTTGTGAAATTGCGTGAACATTTTACATTGAAGATACCATGATCACTTTCGTATGACGTGTCTTCACTTCCTTTAAGTGTACCAGTTTTTGTAAAATTGAGAATTCTGCTTAAGCCGGTGCTAGGGGGTGTGGATGGTAACTTGCAATTACCACTACCGGTATGTTCCTATATGACGACACAGTGTAAATAAAATAAATCCCCGCCAAGTAAAATTCTAACAATTGTTATGGTTACATTAGACGAAATAAATAAAATACATACATGATCGTGTAAATACGTACAATTAAGGTACAGCATAATTACCATAACCAAAGTACTTGATGCCTTAAAGGAAGGCACAGCAACAAGAACATCACTTACCAAGACAGAAGACGAAATTAAAACAATTAAGAACGCACAAAACGTCAAAAATGAAAATATTGCAGGCTCGGTTTGATTGAGCCTGTTCATGAACGGCACTGTCAAGTGCAAACTACAGTACACGCCCCCTAGCACCGAATTAAGCAGAATTCAACATTTAATCATGGTTATGGTGAACTTTTGGATTTAGAAACAATCGCAGACGCGCTTATAATGTGGTTATCATGGAACCATCAATGTGACACGTTAGTGTCATTCCATAAAAAGCGGCATATGGTTCCCAAGTACAAGAATGTGTGTGCCCAAAACAAGAAAACAATGAGCGGAACTAAATAAAATTGAATTTTGAAAGGGGATCAGAGGTTATGAAGCCTGCATGCCACAGATAAGCTGTCAGCTCCACATAAATCAGGCCTGCTTATACCTAGACGTAAAAGAGTTTTTAAAGTACAATTAAATTTTAAATATATCTGAATTACGACGACAGGACTTTGTAAAATACTTACGTAATTTATAATAGCGATAGCCAGTAATGAATAAATTGCGTTCATTAGAATCATCCAAACGACAGCAGGCCCAGGCAAATCTATATATATATATATACCCAATATGATGTTGCATGAAGTACATGTGAACAGTTAACAACGTTATTTTAAAAAAACAATTATCACTATGTTAATGTTAATGATAGAAATGTTTAAATTTGAAAATATTAAGAGTTTGTTTTAATCATTTTACGTTCACTTGGATATATTTAAGATTTCACTTGATCAAATTTGATTATTCATGTTAAGGATATCATCTAGGTAGCGGTAAGTGCTATTTAATGCAACGTATAGCCTTCGGTTGTGAAATAGTAGAGAGACTTAACATAAAATCCCTCTAGTAACAATATAAAATTAAATATAAAGTAAACTAACATGTAATTGGCATTATGATTGTAAAAATCAGGATAAGAGAAGATCCTTTGAGAGCAATTAAACATGGCAAAGTTGATAATTCAAACTCAGTTTGATGGGGTCTGTTCATGAGAGACCATATCTCACGTCTCTTAGTACCGACTAAGTAGTATCCAATCCTCAACTATAAAAGTTTTGCAATCAATGATCCCGAAGGACCAAGTCGTCCGGTTAGCTCAATAGGCAGAGCGTTGGACTGTGAATCGGACAACCAGTGTTTGATTCCCGGACGGGGCAGGTCACTTTCGTTGTGATTGATCATGAAATAGTTTCTACGGTTATTCGCACTGTACTACTGTTCTGCTATGTACAGAAGTTACAGTTCCTTGCGAAAGTGAGGGCAACTAGTACTGGTAAACTGCTTGACAGCCTGTCCAGGAACGATTCGGTGGCTGAACTATGCTCTGGTAAATTCAATATGGTTACTGCCGTGATCCGGATTGAAAACTACCGACACAAACACCACCATCCAGAAGGTCCTATTAATATTACACTGTTAACCTGCTGTTGCAGAGTCGGTTTGATTGTGCCTGTTCATGGACGGTACTGGAAAGTGCATGTTACTCTACGCCCCCCTAGCACATAGTATTACTATCAAGTACCCGCCAGGGAAAAGATTAGCTATTTTCGTCCAATTGAAAGCTCTTCTTAATTCCTCCCATGAAGTTAACAACAAACTTGAAACAAAATGCTCAAAATCATACACAGGAGCTGTCAGTAGGACAGCATGCTCGACTATTCTCAGTGCTTGATAGAAAAAAATGGGACATAATATTGTAAAAAAAGCTTGATACAGTGACCTCCTCTGTACACAGGTTGAGATTATGATGGTGAACAAGTGTGCAAGGTCTCAAAGCTATATGTCGATGGAATTCTGAAATTATCTGAAATGGTAATGTAAATTCAAAGTTGAAAAACGGGCATAATTCTGTCAAAATTCTTGATAGACCTCCTCCAGTCCTCAAGAGGAGGGCATGATGGTAAACAAGTGTGCAAGTTTCAAAGCCATATGTCAATGGACTTTGAGATGGTACGCAAACTTTAACGCCGACGCTCGGGCGACTAGGATAGTTGTCCTTAATCGTCGAATAGTTGAGCTAAAAAGAAACTGCCCTCATAATATATATATAATATTTTATTCATAATTCAGATCCAGTCTAGCAGAAAAGTCTCTTACTGTAAACTGAATAACCTACCCATTTTAAATGTTCTAGCAAATTACATTTTACATTTTAATGTATATATTATATCCGTCATCAATAATGACAAAACTCCAAATATGGTTCAATTGTAGATTATCGTATGTTAAGCCAATGCCTTAAAACAAGAGCTGCATGTCAGACAGCACGCTCGAATATTTAAAATCAACAACCAGCATAATAAAGAAATTCTCATATTCATAAAGTAGTATAACTCTTTGAAATAAAACCATGTTAGAGGGAAGTAACCTACAATAATGATCTCAAAAATGTGTTTAGTTTCATGTGCATTACCTCAATGGTTGTGGAGATAAATCTTGTCCGAGAAATTCTGTAAGTTAATAAATAGATATTATTATTTTCTAATAAATGCTTAGCTTATGGGTCTTGAACAGTGACCTACAAGTATTTGAAGACTAACAATAAATGTTTATGGCTAAGGAAAAACAAACTTGCGAACAAATCCTTAACAAAAGGCTAGCACAAGGTCAACGCAAATACCGAATTGCAGGTCAGTAATTAGTTCCTTATTGTGTGCATAAAACAAATAAAAGAGATATTTCAACATTAAGACACACATGCAGGGCATTGTCTTTGAAAGGTAAGATGTCCTATCACTAACCAATTAAATAAAATTGTTAATCACTATTATAATATAAAACAAAAAAAGTATTTAATTTAAAGTTGACTCCCCATTCGTAATACCCCACCCACTTTGTATATGAATTTAGATCAATAAAACACATTTATGGCATAGTTTGCTTATTCTAACTTATTCAAAATAAGTGTAGATATAGTTTTAAAGCTGTATTAAACGAAATCATGAATGTTATTCAGTTTAAACATGAATAAAACTAATAAGTTGCACATATTCAGAAAAGGACACCCAGTTTGCAACATATTTTGTCTTCTTTCGTTAAAATTAGGCGATGAAAACTAGAAAAAAATCAATAAAGTCAAAATTTATAGCATGAGTAAGTTAAAAATAAGAAATTTTATGCAAAATTTCAATTGATTTACAAAACTGAAAAAGGAAATAAGCCAACGTAAATATACTAGAATATTTAGGGATTTGGCGGCCATCTTTGACGCCATCTTGGATATCTTAGCTTCGCATCGGGGTTGGGCCAAATGAATATCCATTCCAGAAACTACAGATCAAGACGAACATTTTGGTATATGAAACTTGCTGTTGGCTGACATA